TTATTTCTTTTCTTTTTTTTTTAAACAATTCACCCCAAGGAAGGCGATAAAGCCACTAAGACACAAGGGTTTTCTGCGTGTGAAAAAATCTGAGTAAAATTCGCTCCACTTCTTCAAATGTAGCAACTACCTAAAACATAAGGATATTAAATTTAAATTCGTCATTGCACATAATTTTAGACCACTTTTCGAAACCCCTTATCCTGTTTTGCGAACTGAATGCACTTTCATTCATTCTCCATAAAAACTAATACCTTTTAGCGAACTACACTGGTCATGAGGCCAAATTGCAATGTGATATTTTTTATAATAGTAAAACCTGTTTTTAAATCATATTTTTTTCTTACTACTTTATTTTTTCTCAGCTCTCCACATATAGTAACTTGGGAATATCAAATGCTGAAAGCTGTGGTGTGCGGGTGGTGTAACGTATAATGACTCGGAATTGTTAATCGGGTAGACGAGTTCCAATTCTGTTCGTTATATTCACACGTGCAAATACCCCTTGGAAAGTTATGATTCGACCTCCATCTATGGGTTAATTATAAAATTTGTATAACTAAAGCATTATCTAAAAAAATAAAAATAAATAAAAATAAAAATTGTACAGAAAATATTTAGATTTCAGCATTACATCACCAATAGAGATTGATATGACGCTCAACAAAAATAACCCATAGAAGTTGATACGGCGCTCAACGAAAATAACCCAGAGAAGTTGATACGGTGCTCAACAAAAATAACCCATAGATGTTGATATGGCACTCAACAAAAATAACCCATAGATGTTGATTATGGCGATCAACAAAAATAACCCATAGAAGCTGATTATGGCGATCAACAAAAAATAACCCATAGATGTTAATATGGCGCTCAACAAAAAATAACCCATAGAAGTTGATATGGCACTCAACAAAAATAACCCATAGAAGTTGATATGGCGCTCAATGAAAATAACCCATAGATGTTGATTATGGCGATCAACAAAAATAACCCATAGAAGTTGATATGGCGCTCAACAAGAATAACCCATAGATGTTGATATGGCGATCAACAAAAATAACCCATAGATGTTGATATGGCGATCAACAAAAATAACCCATAGATGTTGATATGGCGATCAACAAAAATAACCCATAGATGTTGATATGGCGATCAACAAAAATAACCCATAGATGTTGATATGGCGTTCAACAAAAATAACCCAACTGAAGTAGAAAGAAAACACCGCAAAGAAAAAGAAATTAAACTCGGTCGCTCAGCTTCCTGTTCGTAATGGCTGATCTTAGAAACACCGTTAAGAACTCCTTTTTCCACTTTCCAAGATTTACCCTAACCCTCCTGCTCACCGAGTCAGGTTGTGACACAAGGTCGGTTTTCAACGTGAGGACGCCAGTGTTTCCACTCGGGCCGCTGGTCTAAGCTGTCTTAGCTGATCATAGCTTGTCTAAGCTAGTCATAGCCGGTCAAACCATCTCTACGGAACAGATGTCACACAACGGTTCAGGTGAGGAGAGAAGGCCTCCAGCACAGAACAGATAATACAACCGCAGCATCTGCTCCGACTGACCCCCATTCTCCCCCTCCCCCTTCATCTCCCCTCACCCTGTTAACTACTAGGAGCCTGGGATATGTAAGAGAGGCTGTTGATTTATAAAGATTATAACTCCAATTTGTATTCATTTAATTGCACTAAAACTTTCCGCAGTCATCTTATAAAAGATAGTTCTTCTGGTGAGTAATAGAAGATTATGGAAGGTCTTAATAACATCTTAATCAAATGAAAAGACAAAAACTTAAGAGATAAACCATCTGCCCCCTTAAAGTAAGAAAGGCACGATAAGAAAGCGTTAGAAAAATTATGGTATCGTAGACTATACTTGGAGAAAGGATGGATTATCCTGCTCTCTTTCTGGGATAAGGTTCACATCAGCCGAACGAGAAAACGGAAAGAAATGCGAATTTTCTGAGCTGGTTAAATGAATTTATAAATCCATCCAATGTAAATCTCGACGCCATAACGAATCTCAAATATCAGTTTTGATACTGTGACGATGGAAATAATGCGCCGGTCATGATAAAATATAGTTTTAAGTTAGGCTATATTTATGAGTTAAAGTGCTTGTTATCAGGAATTCCATGATAGGGTATATTACTACACACACACACACACGCACACACACACACATATATATATATTTAGATATATTTATTACTTCAAATGTTATTGTAGTGGATACTTCTTATTTGAAATAATGAAATGTCGAATTAAAAATAAATTCATGAAGTCTTAACAAATATGATAAAATATAGTTATAGAGTTATGCTATATTTGTGGGTCAATGCGCTAAACATCAAAAATAAAGTGTATGTAAATACAAAAGTGGACGTGTAAACATAAAAGTCAACATCCAGAGGTGACACTTTAGATTTCACAATCATCAGGCCACATTCATATCTATCTATCTATCTATCTATCTATCTATCTATCTATGTATATATATATATATATATATATATATATATATATATATATATATAATGTCAAAGATAGTGTAAAGCCAAAAATGCTGACAGTCAGCGGATTACCGAGAGAAAAGACGTTCACTAAAGAAGGTACGGATAGGTTCGCCTACGAAACTTATGAGTTGGAATGCTGAGTCATATCAGTAAGCTAAATGACAAACTTTTACTTATATTAATTCTCTGTCTCTGTCTGTCTGTCTCTCTCTCTCAATATATATATATATATATATATATATATATGGAGATAGATAGAGAGAGGGAGAGAGAGAGGGAGAGAGAGAGGGAGAGAGATTATCACCCCATTCAAGGTGGTAATGCCACTAAGACGGAAGGAGCTACTGGGAATGAAAGAAAATGAAAAGACTTT